CGAGGAGCTCGAGAATAAACGAGGAATTATATTGCATTTTCGACAATATCATCGCACGCGTGTATAGCGTGTCGATTACGAAATGCCAAAAAATGATGCACAAATGATCTTACGCGTTTTCTTCCGTACCTGAACTTTTCTAAATGTAACGACGATCCGTCCCGTATGGCGTGGAAGCTTTTGATTTACAATATTTACACATCAGCAATCTTACAATTTTGCAGGGTAAAAATACATAGATGTTCTAACATTGCTACATGCTGCATTCCTACAGCAACGTTGCTGCATTCCTGTGCAAATGTCGAAGCAACTTTGGGTGTTATCCATTTGGTAATACAAGTGTTATTCTGTCTTTGTTACTCTCTGAATGTTAAGAAAGATGGAATGATGTTTGTGTCACTAAACGGAAAGCATCCTTTACTGCATTCTTGCAACAACGTTGCTGCATTCTTGCGTTAACATTGCAGCAATATTGCGTGCGTGCGTGCGTGTGTGTGTGTGTGTGTGTGTGTGTGTGTGTGTGTGTGTGTGTGTGTGTGTGTGTGTGTGTGTGTGTGTGTGCATTAGCAATATTGCAATTTTTCCGTGATGTTTCCGCGAGCCTTCCATGCTGCATGGGTATGATGCGAATCTCTTGTTTGGAGGATCTACGCTGTTATTTGCAATCGTGGGCCGCATGCGGTATTGTGTGTGCAATTATCCACTCGATGAAATGTTTTTGTTCATCGTTCTTTCTCCGTGCTAGCGTGCGCGTACGTACACACGAATCGACGGTATATCTTAATGCGGACGGTAGTTTTTACGATTACGCTATTTAAATCGCTACTAATTGTTCATGCCGCACATTCTAGACATTTTCGTTTCCAGTGTTAACTTGTTGGTGCTGCTGTTGACGAGGCATTAAGAGCATGGAACTGTTGAGTAGTGCCTCCTAGCACGTTGAGCCCTTAGTGCTCCTGTGCCTTGCTTGCTTGAAACTCTAGCTGCTAGCCCAAGCCTAGGCTAGCTGAGAAGTCGGCCGACAGAAACCAATTCTTTAACGCTTGAGTTGACAAAACGTTTCGAAAAAAACGAAAAAAAAAATATATATATATATATAAGAGAAAAAGAAAAGAAAGACATACATTGGCAGTGAAAATATGACGTAAAAAATAATATGGCTAGATGTTACATGTTTCTTTTTCGAAGAGGAACTCAAGTCCGGACTCATCAATCCTACATATATATTTTGATGTGTATATAATATATATATGTAAAATTGATATATATATATATATATAAAATGATACGAAGTATCCCAAAACGTCAACTGTAAATTGCTAACGTTTCATAGTTTCGCTAAGTGTTTGTAATATATTATGGAGGTACAAGCGTTTAAAATGATTGAAAGACGGTCTACTCTTACAGAGATTTAATATTGAAAGATGGATTAATTACTTTTTGAACATCAAGTAACAGTGCTTTCAATATTTAAGATAAGTAATTAACCGTTATCTTTCAGTATTAAATTAGACTTTTGTAAGGGTGTATGAATCCTTTCCTCTTTTCTTTTCATCTTCCGGCTCTTGGTCATCCACAAGTTAACGCAGATGAACGTTAATGAATGTGACAGTAGATGTACATACGCGATGCATGATATTACAATATTTTTGTAATGAAAGTTTTAGATGCTTGTACTCACAACTTTGAATACTCACGCGATGTTTCATCTCTTAACGAATAGAATATATTTAACAAGATACTCTTGCGACAAGAATCCAATTTGTATTTTTGGCATATCTTTTTTGCTGTTTCATTGCAAAATTTTTTGTGGAAGCGCTTCTTATTATGCGTATACTTACTAAATAATTTCTGCACAAAGGTCATTGTTTCGGTAACATTCAAAAGAATATATGTCAAACATAACACTAACGAGCTGATTGCTCGAAAAAGGGTACATTTATTTCCAACAAGATTTCTCATTCGGAGAATTTCTTGACGAGAAAGATGAGGAAGGCTTTTCTTTTCACGTACATTCTCTAATAAAAATTTCATACTTATTCTTAA